GTGATGTTTTGTATAAAACTCATTGTAGGTACATCTTGATCACATCACTTGAAATGATGTAAGTACTTTATTTGGTTAGAGAATGAGTGGGCGCTGGAGATAGTGCAGTGCGGCAGAAACAGTGCCGTCAGTCACTTCATTTCCAGATGTGTCCAATTGACTTTGTACTGCTATGAGGAAACCACAAGAGTATCAAGTCCTTGTGTGGGTTCCTAGCTCCTAAAGCTGTAGTAGTTCACCTTTAGCTGGAATCCGTTAAATCTTGCAGTATAGTTCAAGTAGGTCAGGTTCCCTATCTGGTTCTTAACAGTAAGTTTGTTAGATCATCAAACATAAGGCAAGAATATTCAAAACCTATCAATTTTCCCCTTTTTGAAGATGACAAACTTAACATTTATAGAGTGGAGTTAGAGCAGTAAGAACCAGTTTAAGTAACAGAGGAACACAGGGTTCCCCCTAAGACTATGCCTTATTGTAACAATAGTTCCCCCATGTGTTCCCCCTGAGTTGATTGTCGTCCGTATTATTTTTCCCCCTTTTGGCATCATTAAAAAACAGAATAATCAACACAAAGAAGTCCAGCTAAGTTAAACTCATGCCACATATGTGCACACAATCATGATAGAGAATAGAACACAGAAAGAGAGTACTGACATAATAAAACGAGGATTGATATTAATAAAGCTTAAATATGCCTCTGCTTTGAAAAAGAGAAAGGCAACATTGGACTTGTTAACGGGAGCAGTAGTGTTTCATCCCAACCACACAAAAAAAGAAAACAAAAACATCCGCCAAACCATCAAAAAAAACATAACAAACATATCCAGAAACTGGTCACTGAAGGGGTACTTAGGGGGCACTATGAGTAAAAGGCTTGGTAGCTGCAGCAAGTGTTTGGAGAACGAGGTCTATTCGGGTGTTTGCCGACTTTTGCTCATTGAGCAGTTCTGCTTTCATGGTTCTCTACTTGCACCCTGAGATCAGCATTCTCCTGTGTCAAACGAGCCACTTCATCATTTGACATCGGAACCCCTCGGGCTTACTGACCTTCTAGGATAGCATTCCTGGCCTTCAACCGATGAATTNCATACTTTTCCACACACTCGCACTCTTCCAAAGTCATCTATGAGAAAGTCTGCTTCCTAGTCCCCATTTTGCCCTTCCCCAATGGGACTTTAAAGAATTTGAACACTAGAGTAAGTAGGAACCCATAGGGAAGGACATGATTACCATCTTTGAAAGTGGAAACCTTTTGCATGTGTTCAATCATAATAGCAAGCAGACTCACCGGAGTAAAATTGTCCAATTGCTCCATCAAGAATAGGTCAGACTTAGAAATCACTGACCTCCTTTCAGCTCGAGGCAATAGAACTTTGTTAACCAATTCAAACAGCAGCTAGTAAACAGGGAGTAGGGCTTTCTTATGGATCTGGTCCCCTTTCTGGTTAGCATTATCTTTTACCACTGCATTTCTGAAGTTATACTAACACGCATCTCTTATACTGGACATACCAGTTGTAGGAACTTTTAAAATCTCTCCAAGCAACTTTACATCAAAGACGATGTCCACCCTATTGACCAAAGCACAAATGTGGTCAGTATCAAATGGAAAGACGCTAGCAAAGAAACTTTGTACCTCCTCCTCATATACCTTAGGTGCATTAATTTGAAATAGATTCACCCAACATTGAAACTCGACCATTTCCAAAATTTGGCGCATTCCAGCCATCTTAGAGATTACTGGGTCAAACGTACGACCCATTAGAACTTTTTGATGCCTCAGGCGCTCAGAGCCAAGGCTTACTCCACTTCTCATTTTCTTTACAAAAACAGGTTCTTCAAAAGATTCAGACTTGCGTTTCCCAAACTTCTCTCCACTGACTTTGCCTTTTCCCTTGGATTTGACTAGGACATCCTCATCAGACATGGAAAACTCACTCACCACCTCTTTCATCTTAGACCTAGATATTGACCTTTTCTCTATTGAAGTAGGCTTCGTCTTTTTCGAAGACCGTCTAACAAGTGAACCAGGTTCATCTGGGGTTTCCTCTTCCACCTCGACTACAGAGATCACCTCATCACTTACAGGTACACCACCCTTCACCAACTTTCTTCTTTTCTTCTTACTACTCTTCTTGATCTTTTGAAGAGTAGAATTGTAGGTCACTTTAACTTGAAGCCTGGTAGTAGGTCGTTTGATTTCAGACTCAGGGGTGGACACAACCCTCCGCTTACTTATGAATGCATCAAGAGCCACATTATCTAGGTCTTCTTCATCACTGGATCTCATTCAAGGTGCTTGAATTTCTAGGGGCACAGCATCGAATGCAGGAATAACACTATCCTGGGAATGAGAGCCTTGACCTGGGTCCTCCGGAGAGGGATCAGATTCCTCATGTGATGCCCCAGTAGTATCTGCTACTGTATCCCCTTCAATAGCTACAATGGCCCCTTCTTCCTCCACACTTTGTGTCTCGTTTTTCTGAGATATAATCTCATGCATTACACCATCAGCGGATACCAAAAACACGGTTACAACATTTTTCTCTTCCTAAACCGGTGCTTCCACCACTATGGAACGATAGCAGAACTCTTTGTGACCTCAGGATTTTGACGTTGTTCTCCACTTAGAGTGTGACTAGTGGGAACATCAAATGATGGGGAGAACAGAGCAGTAGTTTCAAGGGTTTATATATTTGGAAGATATTGGGAAACTGGAGGAGGTGTGACTGTAGCAGTAGGAGTAATAGAGGGTGAGGAAGGCTTAGTGAGAGCGGAAGGTTCCATAGATTGATCAGTGGTAGTTACAACTGTGGCAGGGAGATCGGAAGTTGTCTCAGCCATTGAAAGAAGTGGTATGATGATCCCTTTTTTTGGGTGATTCTAGTCTAAGACTTATGGTTAAGAAGAGAAGAAGATAGGGTTTCTAAAAGGAGAGGATAATTATGAAGAAAGAGGAATTGGCACCGGTTCTGAAATGGAGGTTAAGCGTGGAGAATTGCAATGTTAGAGGGAGATGGAATGATTTGAAATAAAGAGACGTGACAACAGGATCTGAAAAGTTGATGACATGGCAGTTGTGTTTTGTACCCTTTTTAAGATATGTATTAAAGGATGCACAGAACTACTAACCTTTGGTACAAGAACCAGGTTCTTGACCTTTTTATTTGAAAGAATCAATCCTCTTTTATCATTCATGCACTGCATCTATCGCTTCTATACTCATCATGCGTGTTTACCTGCAATGCTATTGAAGTGAGTTTGACATGGCCAGAAAGTACTTTGAGATAGTTATTTCTTGAAGGTAAAAGCTAGATAAAGAGGAATCAGGTTCTCAATTTGGCTTTAAAATCCCCAGCTTCACTCTGTTTCTTTCAAAATATTTCCTACTTAGAGCCTTGGTGAAAATGTCTACAATTTGATCTTCTGTGCTGCAGAACTTCATACATATCAGCCCTTTCTCCACATTGCCTCTTAGAAAATGATGCCTCACATCAATATGTTTTGTCCTTTTGTGTTGAACTAGATTCTTGGCCATGTTGAGTGCACTGGTGTTGTCACATAGAAGGGGCACACTCTCAGTGAGTACCCCAAAGTCCTCTAGTTGCTGCTTGATCCATAAAAGCTGAGTGCAGCAAGATGTTGCAGCTACATATTCAGCTTCAACTGTTGAAAGAGCCACTGAATTTTGCTTCCTTGCACCCCAAGAGCTAAGACATGAAACTAAGAAGTGAGCCATTCCAGAAGTGTTTTCCTTGTCCACAAGATAACTTGTATAATCTGCATCAGCATACCCAATTAGATTAAAATTGTCACCTGATGGATAATACAGCACCAGGTCCTGTGTTCCTTTGAGATATCTTAGTATTCTTTTGGCAGCCTTCAAGTGAGATTCCTTGGGATTTGATTGAAACCTTGCATATAGCCCTACACTGAAAACAATGTCAGGTCTACTGGCAGTGAGATGGAGGAGAGTCCCAATAATGCCTCTATACATGGTTTGATTCATAGGAGATCCAGTTTCATCCATGTCCAGTCAAATGGCAGTAGCAATGGGAGTGTCTATCACCTTTGATGCTTCCATGTCAAACCTCTTCAAGAGCTCCCAGATGTATTTTTGCTGACAAATGGATATACCCTTTGAGGATTGTTTTACTTGAAGACCCAAGAAGAACTTCAGCTCCCCCATCATGCTCATTTCAAATTTACTTCTCATGAGTTTTGCAAATTTTTCACACAGAGAATCAGCTGTTTCTCCAAAAATAATATCATCAACATAAACTTGAACAATGAGCAGGTTCCTTCCTCGTTTCTTTAAGAAAAGAGCGTTGTCAATTTTTCCTCTTTTAAAACCATTTTCCAGGAGGAACTTTGACAATCTTTCATACCAAGCTCGAGGAGCCTGCTTTAACTCGTACAGAGCTTTGTCCAGTTTAAACACATATTCAGGGTGCTCATGACATTCAAACCCTGGGGGTGGCTTCACATAGACTTCTTCCTTAAGGAGTCTATTCAAAAATGCACTCTTGACATCTATTTGGAACAAGGTGAATTCCATATGTGATGCAAAAGCGATTAGAATTCTAATAGCTTCCATGCGAGCCACTGGAGCAAACGTTTCATCATAGTCAATACCTTCCTCCTGATTGTAGCCTTGGACCATTAGCCTGGCCTTGTTTCTTGTGGTAATTCCATGTTCATCGAGCTTGTTTCTGAATACTCACCTGGTTCCTATAATGGTTCAATATGGGGGTCTAGGTACCAGGTGCCACACATTGTTTCTCTCAAACTAATATAGCTCGTCTTGCATGGCTGTAATCTAATCTGCATCTTTCAAAGCTTCCTTGATATTTTTTGGGTTCTATCTGGGAGAGAAAGGTTGAGAAGGCAAGTGAATTTCTAGCTCTTAATCTAGTTTGTACTCCAGAATCTAGAGGAGTGATAATGTTGGCTATTGGATGAGAGCTTTGGTGTCTCCAGTTAGACGCCCGAGGTTCATTCTAGGAGGAGAAAGATATGTTTGGATAATTTTCCTCTACCATTCTCTCAGGTGCTAGTGGAGTTCCCTGAACTGCATCAACCACTCTTTCTTCAGCTTTAGTAGTTGTAATTGAAGTGCTTGGTTCTGTTGAAGATGAAGCAGCGTTGTCCTCATTTGGCTCCTTTACGTGACTCATCATATCTGCCTTTCCATTTGTCATGTTAATGATTTCACTAGGAACTAGTGGGGGTTCTCCATCTTGATCTTCCTCAGCATTCTTCATAAATGATGGATAAGATTCATCAAAAATAACATGAACACCTTCCTCAACATATTGAGTCCGCTTATTATATATCTTGTAAGCGTTGCTTTGAGAAGAGTAGCCCATAAATATTCCTTCATCACTCTTGGCATCAAATTTACCAAGCTGATCATTTCCATTGTTGAGAACATAGCATTTGCACTCATATGTTCTTAGGTGAGTCGGCTTGGGTTTCCTTTCATTCAACAGTTTATACGGGGTTTTGTTTAGAAGTGATCTGATCATGCACCTGTTCACCAAGTATCAAGCGGTATTGACAGCTTCAGCCCAGAAGTTCTTTGCAATTCCACTGTCGATCAACATTGTTCTTGCCATTTCCTCCAGAGTTCTATTCTTCCTTTATACTACTTCATTTTGCTGAGGAGTTCTGGGAGCTGAGAAGTTGTGTGTGATGCCATTTTCATTGCAGAATTCATCAAATTTGACATTGTCAAATTCTGTCCCATGATCTTATCTAATGCAAGCAACTCTAGATTACATCTTCACCTGGATTTTCTTCACAAAGGCCACAAATACCTCAATAGTTTCATCTTTGGTTCTGAGAAATGGAGTCCATGTGAATCTAGAGTAGTCATCTACTATTATGAAAATATATCTTTTTTCTCCTCTGTTTTGCACTCTCATAGGTCCACACAGATCCATATGAAGAAGCTCTAGTGGCTTTGAGGTGCTCACATCTCTTTTAGGCTTAATAGAGGACTTCACATGTTTTCCTCTAGCACAGGCATCACAGACTTTTTGCATCTTGAATTGTGACATAGGCAGACCATGGACCAGGTCCTTCTGAATTAGTTTGTTCAAAAGAGAAAAATTTGCATGGCCCAGTCTTTTGTGCCATAGTTTAGCTTCATCATCAACAGCTTTCAGACAACTCAGATCACCATTCTGTAAGGACTTGAAATCAACGACATAAATGTTCTTGTATCTTTTGGCCATAAGTACTATTTCACCGGTCACAAGATCAGTGACTGTACATATTTTGGACAAGAATTCGACCTTGTTTCCTTTATCATAAATTTGAGAAATACTCAAGAGACTGTACTTAAGGCCATTTACATTGTACACATTTTCAATAGAACGAGTAAGTGATTTCCCGACTTTTCCAACTCCAAGAATGTACCCCTTTTTGCCATTGCCAAAGGATACACTCCCTTTTTGCAAGGCTTTTAGTGAAAGAAAGTCTGTGGTGTTCCTAGTCATGTGTTTTGAATACCCACTATCCATGAACCATTGTTGACCGCTTCCTTTCACTGTTCCCTGCACAAGAGATTAGGAGTTAGTTTTAGGAACCAAAACAAGTTTAGGTCCCTTGTAGTAAGCAAGAGTATGAATAAGTGTTCTCTTAGTCCATGCAGGTAATATGCATTTTTTGTGAGTGGAACCTGGTCCCTCTTTTGTAGTCACCGTTTCAGCAAACACTTTGTTTTTCTGAACTAGTTGATTCTTGGCCTGGACATCTTCCTTGAAGCGCCTAATGTTCCCACATCGGGTACAAGGCTAGTTATCAGAGACAGTGACGTACTTACTGTGAGGGTTGTGAGGAGTTTTCTCCCTTTGGAACCCTGCTCCCTGCATGTTTTCACAATTATTAGTATGCAAGGCAGTGGTAGCTTCTGAGGACCAGGTCCACTTTAGGGACTTTTCAAAATCATTCTTTACTCTTTCCAGATTAGAATGGAGAAGCTCGTTTTTCTCAATTTCACCAGACATCCTAAATCTCATAGCTTTCACCTCATTTTCAAGCCTAATGTGTTCCTCACTTGCTATCACCTTTCCCTTATTAGAACTTTCAGGTTTTGACTTAGTCCATGGTTTCACTATTGTTTCCCTTAGGTATGCAATTTCTGTCAACAGATCACTCTTTTCTTTTCTGAGGGTTTTAATGGTTTTCTTATGGTCAGTAACTACAGCCACTAAGTCGTCTCTAGTTTGTTCAGATTCTCCTAATTCTAATGTCAAAGAATTCCTATCCTCCACAAGACTATGAAAAGTAGTGATTAAAACATCAGCTAAAGACATGAGTTTTTTTGGAGAATAGGATTTCAAATTTCTCTGAACATCCCTGAAGTTTACCTCTTTGTTGCCATTGTCTTCATCATCATCTGATTGAGCTATCAAAGCAAAAGCTGAGTCATATCCTGTCTTTTCGCCTTCAACTGCTATCATGGAACTATCACCAGTATCAGGTTTATCTTCAGACTCACTAGATGAATCCCCCCATGCTGCAAAAGCATGTCTCATCATATTGTCAGCAGATCTTTTTCTCTTGAAGTCCTTGACAGGAACCGTGTTCGTCTTAGTTGTTTTCTCATGATGGTTCTTGGAAAATTCTTGCTTTAGGATAGGACAGTCTTTCATGAAGTGTCCAGGCTTTCCACACTTGTAACAAAGATCACAGTTTCTTGGTCTGATAGAAATGTCCCTTTTTAGCATTTCTCCATTTCTTCTGACCATCTTCTGAAATTTTTTGGTTAGGAAGCCATGTCACTGTCTTCCTCACTTGAATCATTGTAATCATCTTTAAGTACCAGGTTCTTTTCTCTTTTTGGTTCTCTTCTTTCACTGTTTATCTTTTTCTTCAACTCATAGGTCTTCAAGTTTCCGATCAGCTCTTCTATGTTCAGCTCTTGTAAGTCCTTTGATTCAGTAATGGCATTCACTTTGTTTCCTAGGAGCTAGGCAGAAAGCTGATGATTTTCCTTACTAGCTTGTTTCTGGGAATGATTTCATCAAGGGAGTGTAACTCATTTATAATGGAAGTGAATCTCGTATGCATATCTTGAATGGATTCATCGTCCCTTATTTTGAAGAGTTCATACTCGGTAGTAAGCATGTCATCTTAGATTGTTGTACTTGTGTAGTTCTCTCATGAGCTGTTTGCAAAGCTTCCCATATCTCTTTGGCAGTGTCACAAGTGGAGATTCTATTGTACTCTTCATGTCCTATTCCACATACTAGAATTTTCTTGGCACGAAAATTCTTCTCCACAGCTATCTTGTCTGCTTCAGTGTACTTTTTGCTGGTTTTTGCCATTGAAAATGGAAGTTCCTCTAGTACTCTGGTTGGAACATAAGGACCATCGCATATGATATCTCATAGCAAGAGTAGTTCCCTCATGAGCTGTTTGCAAAGCTTCTCATATCTCCTTGGCAGTGTCACAGGTGGAAATTCTATTGTACTCTTCAGGTCCTATTCCATATACTAGAATTTTCTTGGCACGAAAATTCTTCTCCACAACTATCTTGTCTAATTCAGTGTACTCTTTGCTGGTTTTTGCCATTGAAAATGGAAGTTCCTCTAGTACTCTGGTTGGAACATAAAGACCATCGAATATGATATCTCATAGCTCACAATCCTCAACCATGATAAAATCGTGCATTCTTGCTTTCCACCACCCATAGTATTGTCCATTAAACTTGGGTGGTCGGTATATAGATTGACCTTCTTCCAAATTTGGTGGGGTAGCCATGAGGATCCTACCTTGGTGTTAGCCTGATAGGATAAACCCGCTCTGATATCAATTGTTAGTTTGTATGAGTCCACCAAATAGTAGAGTACCTGGTCCTCTACAAGATTCTGCTGAGAATGCTAATAAAATAGTATGTAAATAAGGCAGAGGATATTTACGTGGAAAAATCCCACACAAGGGGATAAAAAAACCACGACCTACATCTGTGGGCTTTTAACTTCACTAACTTGTAAAGAACCTATTACAAGCCACTTTAAAATGACTCAATTGCAAAGGATTTACTCAACTAACTTGTGCTACTCTTACCACAAGTCACTTTGTGACTTCCTAGTTACAAAGGCTTTTTCTAACTTGTGATGCTCTCACCGCAAGCCATATTGTAACTCTATAGTACAAAGGCTTTTGCTTAAGACTAAATCCAGTCACAACATAAACTCAAGGAGTTTACGGATTTACAAGAGGATTCCTAATCAAACGCTTCTAGCTAAGAATTTTAGGAGATACAATAAGTACAATAACAAAGTTACAACTCAACTAGGACAATAACAAGATATCTTTTAGGAACTGGTCCGTAGTTGTGTTCAACTTTGTTCTTCAAGCTTGAGTGGATAGATTTCTCTGTTTTGGCAAGAAGCTTGAATGAGAAACTGAAACATTCAAGTAATGTTTTGTATAAAACTCATTGTAGGTACATCTTGATCACATCACTTAAAATGATGTGAGTAGTTTATTTGGTTAGAGAATGAGTGGGCGCTGGAGATAGTGCAGTGCGGCAGAAACAGTGCCGTCAGTCACTTCATTTCCAGTTGTGTCCAATTGACTTTGTACTGCTATGAGGAAACCACAAGAGTATCAAGTCCTTGTGTGGGTTCCTAGCTCCTGAAGCTGTAGCAGTTCACCTTTAGCTGGAATCTGTTAAAACATACAGTATAGTCCAAGTAGGTCAGGTTCCCTATCTGGTTCTTAACAGTAAGTTTGTTAGATCATCAAAATATAAGGCAAGAATATTTAAAACCTATCAACAACTTTCACAATTTTATACGAATAAGCTTTTTTTGTGTGGCTAAAATCAAGAAATTAGAAATAAATAATTTTTTTTACTTTGTAAGTATGGTTTGGTTTAAATATTTTGTAAACATGATTAAGTTAATTTAAGTTTAATAAGTAAAAACCAAGACAAGACAAGACAAGACAAGACAAGATAATAATAATAATAATAATAATAATAATAATAATAATAATAATAATAATAATAATAATAATAATAATAATCCAAGACAAGTTGAACCAAGATCATCTCTAAATTTATTTTTTTTACACTTTTTGTGCATAAATTTAAACACTCTCTTATGGCTTATAAATCTTTTAATTTAATAGTAACATAATAATTTAATGATACTTGAGAAATCAAATGGCTAGAGGGGGAGAAGGCAAAACACATAGAGAGAAGCTCCACCTTCTCTCTAACCTAATAAACTACCACTATTACCTCTACCAATCTTCAAACATCTCCTGATAGTAACACAATGCAGATTCACAACTCAAGCCACAAAATCCCTCCCAAACCACCGGATATTGATACAACGTAAGCTACCATAATACCTGACCTTCCTATCCCAAGTTTTAAACAAAAATTATTGAATGGAATGCATGAAGATCAAATCCACATGATCATTGATCTAACTCCCGATGGAAATTATGTGCTACATAATGAAGTAAATGGAGACCATTCCAATAACCTAGATGAGGATCAAAGGCAAGGGGTCCAATTATCTCCAGAGGATCTTCAAAGAATTTACCACCCATTGAGATTTTCAACCATAATCAAGTTTCAAGGGAAAAAGATTCAACACCATATTCTTAAAAGGAAAATTCAAGATTTGTGGAAAATAAAAGAAAATTTCCCTTTGATTGATCTAGGATCTGAGTTCTACATAACAAAGTTCAATAATGAGGATAGTATGCCAAAAGCACTTCATAATGGCCCTTGGTATATTTTTTGGTCACTTTATTTTAGTCCAAAAATGGGTTCCAAACTTTATTTCTTCGGAAGCTAAAATTGCAAATACAGCTATTTGGATCCGTCTTCCACAATTACCTACTGAGTTCTATGATAGTCTTATTTTAAAGAAAGTGGGTAATAAAATTGGTAGATTATTAAAGATTGATGCATGCACTTCCTCCACTCTTAGAGGAAGATATGTTAGGTTTGGCATTGAAGTTCCTCTGGAGATGCCAGTTACCCCTTATGTTTTCATTGGCCAACATAAGCAGGAAATCCACTATGAAGACGTTAATTTTTTTATGCAAAAGGTGTGGCAGACTAGGTCATTCAATGCCAATTTTCACTACATAGCACCAAGGACCTCTCCTACAATTTCCCACGAAGCTCAAGCCAGTAACCAATCCAATATATTGGGTGGCCCTCAAGACAAAATGGAAGATTTCACTCTCCTGCCCAAGGAAAACAATTGGCAAATGGTTGTATTCCCCAAGAAAAAAAACCCAATTAGAATATAAAAGTGATGCCCTCAAATTCTGATAAGTCTCAAGACCCAATCACACTCCCTCCAGGTATGTCTCCATCTCTCTTATTAAATGAGGTTTCATCAAAAAATTCTCGTGATAATGGTAATACCACTACTACTACACACCCTAAAGTTCATGAAAAAAACCAGTTAGCTAAAATGTACATTGCTACTGATAACATGTTTGATGCATTTATTCCTCCACCAAAGATTAATCATTTAGATAAAACTAATATAATTATTAAATAACCAATATGCATGGCAAATGACGTGGAAGGAAACCAAAACATGGGTGTCCAAATGGCAATTAAAAAACCCAACCAATCAAATGACATGCAAGACAATCATTCCCTACTTAAGGGTAATGAGACCCAGCAACCCCATCAGTGTGGTTAATAACCCTCCCCCCCCAACTACACGCCATCCTCTAAACAAACCACTAATCCCCTCTAAAGGAAACAATTCAGATTGCATAGAAAATAATTCATCTCTTCTAACAAATTTATACGTGTCCATGCAATTGCTAGATACTACACAAATGGCTAAAGCAACCAACCACGTCTCCTCTACACAATCTGAAAAAAATCTTCTAAATCCCACTCCTTCAAGCAATATCAAAGACATGCAAATAGACTCTACTATAATAAACCACTCTACTCCATCGGTAAACTCAAAACCAGCAAAGGAAAAAGCATCACAACCATACAATATAATCGATCAACCTTCTTTACAAGATGCCTAGGATTCCAATCACACATAGAAGAAAGTTTCGCCTAGTCCAAATAGTGAGACACCAAAGAGCTCTAAACAAGTCGAATCCACCACTCCCCCCATAATGAGTGGAACAAGCTCTAATGGGCCATGCAATAACGTTCAATATGATTCTGGGTGTCCAAGAGACAGTGATTGTCCTCCAGAACTCACACTTCCTAGCCCAATTAGTGTCGGAGGGAATGCACATGGCAATGAATAACTACCTCAACCATGTATGGATGAACAACATCCTTCATCCTCTTGCTCCATCGATGAACTTAGATAAAGCTCAAGCCATGAGACATCAATGGAGCTTACCACCCCACTTCAACCCTATCCAGAACCACACTGTCCAGTTGGAACTACCCTTCTTTCCTCCAGGAAAAATCACAAACATGAATCCTATCTTCATGCCATGGTCCCTCCCAGTGAACAATCCTCAAGCCCAACCCAACCCCAACATGCAAGCACCTCTCTATGCAACTCCAGTGCAACAAGAAAATCTACCAAATATCCCACTCCAAATGCCACAAGCTGCTCCACCACCAGTATCTCACCCAGATCCACTAGCTCAACCCCCTCCCAATGCTCCAGAACCAGAAAATGTTCATATGGAGGAGGAAGAGGAGATAAACCTACTAGGGTCCGGACCAGTCCTAGAATTTTCAAGTCTCAACGAGGTAAAAGTATTTCTTTTCATGGAT